TGCCTATGTGTGTTTATGATAATTACCATAACATTATATCTTTAGTGGGTCTGAATGAAAGCGGTTGTACAAACACAAGCACTCACACATGCCACTCAGACTGACAGACTTGACAAGTTTTACCAACCATAAAGACAGTTGAAGCTTTAAACATCACTCACAATGGATCTTGAATATTCCAACTGTAATCAGACATATCTAAGTTGCCTCAACAATTGCAACCCCAGTTGCAATATCAAATTCTGTGTCATTACTAAGGAATAACGAAGTCTCGGGTGCACTCTAAGATTGAGAGAAAATGGAGGACTCAGGCGTCCTGAAGCGAGAGAAAATGGACTCCTATGACGGGGCACTCAAATAAAGAAAGTATAGCTACATGTTTTGTGGACTACACACTGTACAGTATTGAGCGTACCTTTTCATCACTTTGTAATAAACCTAGTCATGCCTAAGTGTGTTTATGATATTTACCATAACATTATATATATATATACTGTATATATTTAGAGGGTCTAAATGGTCGTAAAATGGGAAACTTGGGGTTGGGTCTTGGGTGCCTGGAACCAATTAGAGTAAATCCCATAGGTTCTGTACTTTCATTATCGCATTTTTTGTGATGACCGGACAACGTCCATTTCGGTTAACGTCACGTTTCCAAGAACGTATCTTGGAAGTTAACCGGCACATGACTGTAGTTGAAAAACTTTATGTAGACAGAGCTTGGATGGCTAAATTTTAGAATGACCAATAATTTTGATACTGTATAAAAAAAATGCACAAATATTAAAGAGCATAATTTTCTTGATATTTACTCCATTGGAAACGAATGTAAACATAGAAGAGATTACTGAATTGGCTGAGTACCTCCTCAACTTATCAGCTGATTTTCAAAACAAAACGTGATTTTCGTAAGGATTTCGTTAATCAATTTTTTTTCATTAACTGAATTGAAGATTCTTGTGGAAGGTAATTCGTTAACCGAAATTTAGTTAACCGAGGCGTTCGCTAACCGAGGTACTACTGTATATGTATATATATACTGTATATAATTTTTTTTTTGTCCCAATTTTACACATGCAAGTATGAATACCATGATATGTTGCCATCCTTCTCCCTCTTCTCATGTTTGTTCACAAAACTTTTCGGGCTTCCGCCCTGGGTTTTCTAATTACTGTACTCTCAGCATGCAGGCCAGAGTTAAGTTTTCTCTTCATAACTCTATTTTATTCATGTCCTCAGTAGCAGGTTCAGCCTTTCCAGGTGAACTTTAGCGAAGCTGCTAGTCTTAGTGATCCTTCCGGACGCTGACCTTCTGGTCTTACTAGCAATCTAGAGTTGTGTTAGGAAGAACCTTCTATCCTCAGTATGGGTTATATGAGAACCATTCAGGGTGGAATTCTCAGCCCAATACATTTTGCTTGAGTAATGGTGAACAATGTTAGCCAATGGAGTGCTATGGTAGCAGCTCAGCACAGTCAACCCTTCCGGGTGACTTGATGCTCACTCAGGCATTATCGCTCAAGCTAATTAATTGAAGTGATGATGTCTGTGCACCCTGATTGGCAACAAATAGAGGACTTGGTGATCCCTCAAAATATAAGTGCTCTAAATGAAGTTAACTTGATTAAGAAATAAAGTTCATTGAGCTGAGGGATAATTGAGATAAGAGAAGGGAGAGGTGTATGATATAGTGAATTAGTTGTTTAAGATTGTCACACTGGTGACTTACATAACAATAAAGAGATATTAAAGAAACAAC